TTTTTTTTCTTCCATCTTCTTTTAATGCTTGCTGGATCATTCAATATTCTGCCCAACACATCCTTAAGTATTGCAACTCAAGGCTTGAATTTGTTCTCCAGTTCCTTCAGCTCTTTCTCTTTGCATATTTCATTCTAGTACTTGGCTTTATCTTTCCCATGCTGGCCTTTGAAAGCTCCTGTTCAGCTCTTTAGATTCTTCATTTCTTCCCTTTGCTTTGGCTTCTCAGCATTCTAGTGCAATATTTAGAGGCTCTTTTGATATCCACTTGGTCTCTTCTTCCTCCTCTGTCTTTGTAATGACCATTTTGCATTCTTCATGGATGACTACTACTATGAGCTTGTTAGTTAAGGATCTTAAATAGACTATTTCCCCCCTGATTTATTCCATACAAATTCCTTCATGTGAGAAATACACATTTATGCATTTAAAGAGTAAATATCAGGTCAAAAGAATTTAATTTTACTCTATAGCCTTCTGAAGTGAAAATTAGGTAACAAGCTAAAATAAGGAAATTGCTCAAGTGATTTGGGTAAGTTATAATCATTTAAAGCTCTTGAAAACTTTCTTCTTTTAAAAAGACTATTTCCAAGAACACTCATGTTTATTGCTGCATTATTCACAATAGCAAAGAGATGGAAGCAACCCAAGTGCCCATCAACAAATGGATAGAAAACTATGGTATTTTCACACAATGGAATACTATGCAGCACTGATATCTCAGTTACAAAAGGACAAATAAATACTGTATGACACCACTGTTATAAAACAGGACTGACAAAGTGGTTGAAGGGAAACTAAGAAAAGAGGGGCTAAATAATGAATACTGCAATAAAGAGATGAATGAAAGAACTATTTAAAAGGAATATATGATTAGGCATTATTTGTATGACAATAGCCCGGAACGAGAGGGGCATAGCAAAGTGGACGGGGGAAAGGGTGGGTAGGAAAGGAAGAAATTATGCAACAATGAATATTTTTTTTAAGTAAACTGGGGTGGGGGGAATAGGGAGGAAAATGTACAACAATGAAAGAATAAAAACCCAACTTTTCGGTAAACTTCTGTTAAAATCACAATTTAAAAAATTATTTCAGAAAGATGATTTGCTTTGAAATTATATTATTATGTTAATGAGAAAATGGTCTATAACAAAAAAGAAATAATCCAAGAGAAAATAAATTGTTTTAATTTTTATTTTTACATTTAGCAATTCAGTGATATCTGATTTACTGTACTAATCATTGTTGTCAGGTGCCGTTTAGCTGTTTCCATCCACTGGCCATCCATGTACCCTCTCAAGTTGTTTTATTTGCTGGAGCCAGAATCAGCTTTAGTTGCTTCAAGTATATTTTTCTAAGCTTTAGTTTCCCTAAAATTAAATGACATGCTAAATGATCTTTAAGAGAGTACTGTACACAGAATGATCCAACTAGTAACATTCCATTATGCTGTTATCTCCTGACTTAAGGACATAAAGCCAACAGTATTACAATGTTTCCCTCCTTCCAAAAAGAGAAACTCTAAATGACGCGTTCTAATATTTACTAAATTTCCTAAATTTTAATCCTCTCTAATATGTTGCAGGGAGCCCTGGAGCCACCCTAATATTTCCTAAATTTTAATCTTCTCTAGCTACTCTCCTGCAGGGAACCCTGGAGGCATGGGGGCTTATGTGTTGGGCTGAAATGCTGGTGGTTTGAATTTACCAGCTGCTCTTTGGAAGGTGAGGCAATCTCCTCCCGTTAAGACCAACACCCTTGGAAATTCAATTGAGGGCTGTCACAGGTGGGAACCACCAGGGTGACAGTAGGTTTTGCTTCTATACTATCTTTTAAAAAATTTTATATCATGTTGGTTTGCATATAAAGTTCATATACATTGTGTTTCACATTATCCTCCATTCACATTGTGTTTCATACAATCACTGTCATTATATTTTATAAAAGTAATCAACAGTATTACTCAGCTTTAGTATTCTTACAACAAACTGGCTTTCATCTGTCATTCAGAATTGAATGCTGTTTATTAGAAAATATTTTAAGTCCTGTGTAATATCTAAGTAGAAAAAGAGTATATTCTCGGTCCAGTTCTACAGTTTCTAAATTACGATTTCATAATGCATATTCTTGAGTATCTGGAGAACTTGTACTTTTTCTTTTAAAATGTTTATTTTTCAGCTCCTCCACTTGTAAATCTGTGGGCAGAGGCCCCTTCACATTCTCTTTTTATT